TGAGTTCACACACAACACACGATGGTTGCATAGGTTCAGAAAAATAGACAATTTACTTAAAAAACCGTGTGCGGTGAAACAGTTACAGTAAATGCCTTAATTTTCTTCAGTATCTCAAATTTTCCGTTTTATCAGTTAACCAGTATTTTGAATGTGTCGAACACATTAAATTTTGGCAGTCAGTCACAAACATACAGGGCGATCCAAAAAAACTACAACTGCACAACTTTTTTTCTACACATTTTGCACAAAATTTGTACTAGAATGTTGTAATTCGGAAGGACAAAAGGAATTTGTTTAACATAAAATTCACCAAGAAGAAACTAATTTTCGAAAATTGAAATGGCGTTTACATGTATAAAAACCACCTAAAAATGCAAAATGCACCAATTTAGAAGATCTTGTAAGGAAAGTCATAAAATGATTGGGTATTTTTTCCTTTCCTTTTATTTTTAGAATTTAATCTTTCCATCCCTGTAACCTTTAAACAATATGTGAGGCAGCGTGGTGGAATCAGGCTCTCGTCAAAATGTTCAAAGTTAAGAAACTTGCCTTTTTCCGCAGGTTAGTGAATTTTTATCAAATTTTTGTTTTTTGGATCAAAACCTTTCATGCCCATTAAAGAACTCCTTTCTGTGATGATTTTTCTGAAAAACGTTGATTAAAGACACAAAAAAGTAAATGTTCAGTTACCACGGACTCTTAAGACAAGGAAATAACTAATCTTTGGCGGCCATTTTCTCACTAATTTAACCTCTGAAAACAGGTGACCCCCATCTCCTTTCGCAAATATCTCAACATGTATTCAAGATAAATGGATATTTTTAAAATCCAAATAAAGACAAGTGAACAAGCTTTAAGATGATACCAATAACTCTACATGCCCAAAAATTGACGAGAGCCTGATTCCAACACGCTGCCTCACATATTTCTTTTCTCCTACTCCTACAAAGTTTTAAAAAAATAAATTTAATTCGGGAATCCCAAAATTTGAAAAACAATGGTCTGTAATGTCTTCCTTTGGACTCGACACATTTTAGCGCGTCGTTCGTACTGTTCAGTGGTGGCCAAACACAAAGATCCACTCAACCATCAGGGCTCAAAGCCACACACATTGTACACCTTACAGTATGGGGCTGTTTCTAGAGACAATAGGGAGAGGGGGAGGGGTTTGAGGTTGCCAAAATAGACAATATTTGTGGTGCTGATATATAAGCTGAAGGCTGAAAATATGAGCTTTGCCAAGGAACAAAATGTCCTAGAGGAAATGCTCACGTTTTTCAAGACGATCGAGGAATCATGAACTCATTGTTATCCTCCGATAGCTTCGCAAATGGGAAAACGGTACAGTCGCAAATGAAAAACTGCCTTGAGAGTGCGGACCGTTGACAAGTAGGAAAGTTATAATTGCTGCAGACATTGCCTACGGACAAAAGTCTCATTGGGCCCATCTAATGAATTCTGCACCTTGGTGAAGTTTAAAGTAAGGGGTGCGAACAGTGTGGGTTTGACCTGAAGTGGTCGTTTTGTCTGGGAATTTTTAGTTCTGATTCTCTACAGGTCGTAACTGACGTATAATTTACATTAAGGCAGACCTTAAGGACACTTTAACTTTAACAGTTTCCATACCTTGAGTTTGAGTAAAGAGAAGCACATCAGCACAAAAACAGTGATTCAGTGCAAAGAAGTTCCTTTTAGAGGTCTCAACCGAAAGTAGCCGTATTGTTGTTGTTGTTATTGCTGTTGTTGTTTTCGTGGTGTTTTTTTCTTTTGTTGCTGCTTTTGTGCAAGGGTGACAATAAAACGAAATGTGTCAGACAAGGAGGACCGAGTGCTATGGTAAAACAAACAATGGGTCGCCACCACTCGGAGAACGAGCGGTGCTTCTGTCACAAGGTTACTTTGTTACAGACTGGGTAAACAGTGACCGCTCATTTCACCCATACCTTGCATACATAATTTTCTGCTGTGTAAATCCATATAAATCCAAAACCATGCTTTCTCCCTTGTACCGACACTGTACATCCACAGCAGTAGTATAACAGCTACATCTATAAAACTCTGGATTTATATAGATTAACACAGCAGAAAAGCATCATGTATGCAAGGTATGTATTTTTCTCACTTATCAAAAAACAAGGAAATTTAATTTTTTTGAAAAATCAGAAAAATCATTTAAGAAGTCAAGCTGCCGAGGAACTAGAATCTATCATCATAAATTGCCACTAATGTCCCAAAAAAAAGTAAAAAGAAAAACTGGCACAAAATACTTTGATGCTGAATTACACGAAAACTTTTAATAAATGACAAAGGAACAGCAACATTATGAACATCTAACATCTGTAACAGATGACTGAGAGTTCAAAACCTCAGTCTCTACATCGTTCTTGGCTTCTGACGGGAAATAAACAGAGGACTGCGGATTCAACAGCTTGGTCTCTAAATCCTCCTTGACTTCCAACTCGGGGTGGACGATCACCATATGGCGGGCATTGCTTGGAATCATATGCAAAATGTCCTCTGCAAACAAAAA